CGTGGAAGGCTGAGGCGGAAGGATCGCGGGAGCCCAGCAGGTCAAGGCTGCGGTGGCCGGGAGCGGCCATTGCACTCCAGTCTGGGCGACAGAGTGAGACTCCAACTCAAAAAAAAAGAAAAAAGAAATGGGAGACAGACACCATACCAACAGCCCACAGGGGTGCCACAGATGAAGAGGGTTCTATTTCATTATAAGAAGTTTTCAGGGAGAGATGGCAGAACACTTTTTTTTTTTTTAGTTGAAATCTCACTCTGTTGCCCAGGCTGGAGTGCAGTGGTACTCTCACAGCCACCGCAACCTTGACCTGCTGGGCTCAGGAGATCCTTCCACCTCAGCCTTCCAAGTAGCTGGAACTACAGACAAATGCACAACCATGCTCAGTCTATTTTTTTATTTATTGTAGAGACAAGGTCTCGCCAAGTTGCCCAGGCTGGTCTTGAACCCCTGGGCTCAGACAATCCTTTCGCCTCGGCCTCCTAAAGTGCTGGGATTACAGGCTGAGCCACCACGCCTGGCAGGGCAGAGCACTTTATCATGAAAAGCACACTGTTGGTGACTGATTCATTCGCCTTCTGCTCTCTGGAAACGGGTGCACCAGAGGCTCACTGCCCTTTGCCCATGCCAAGAGGTTATTGCCCTGGACAATTTTTAGCAGAGACTGTTTGTGGAGCCTTCACTCCTCACTTGGAGAATGCACCCTCCTTCTTTTTTCTCCTTTTCCCGGAAGGAAACTGCCATCAGAAGGTGGCATGAACAATGAACACCAGACAACGAACACCAGGCCAGGCTGGTGACTCCAGCTCATAGAGCATGAGGCACGATGCTCTGGTCCCCACAGAACCAAAAGCCAGGAGAGTCAAGGTGTTGGCTTGCCATATCACTACCTAGCTGTGTGCCCCCGGCTATACCCAGGCACCTGTCTATAAAAGGAGATGGTGAATCAACTCCCTCTTCTTCTTCCTTTTTTTATTTTTAAGAGTTGGGTCTCACTCTGTCACCCAGGCTGGAGTGCAGTGGCATAATCAGAGTTTACCACAGCCTTGACCTCCTGGGCTCAGGTGATCTTCCCACTTCAGCCACCCTAGTCACTTCTTAAGAAGGTTCCTTTCATCTCTGAAAGGATGGATCCCCTCTACTTAAAATCAAAGAGGGCCGGGTTCAGTGGCTCAGCCTGTAATTCTGTGCCTTTGGGAGGCTGAGGTGAGTGGATTGCCTGAGCCCGCGGGTACGAGACCCGCCTGGGCAACTTGGTGAGACCTCATCTCTACAATAAATCAAAAATGAGCCGGGCGTGGTAGCACGCACCTGTAGTTCCAGCTACTTGGAAGGCTGAGGCGGAAGGATCGCCGGAGCCCAGCAGGTTGAGGCTGCGGTGGCCGGGAGCGGCCACTGCACTCCAGTCTGGGCGACAGAGTGAGACTCCAACTCAAAAAAAAAAAAAAAAAAAAAAATCAAAGAGGATCAAATATTATATAATTAATTCCACTCATATGGAGTGTCTAGAGGGACAGAGAACAGATTAGTGATCGCTGAGGGTTGGGGAGGTGACAGTCTAAGGATACGGGGCATCGCTTCATGGTGCTGAAAATATTCAAAAATTGATTGTGGTACAACTTGTGAAACATACCAAAAACCCCCCAATGATCTGTACTCTAAATGGGTGAATTATATGGCATTTGAATTATATCTCAATAAAGCCATTTTAAAAAGTCAAACAAAATCAGAGAGGCTAGATGAAAAATACAAAAGTTTTTTTTTTTTGAGTTGGAGTCTCACTCTGTCACCCAGGCTGGAGTGCGGTGGCACACTCATGGCCACTGCTGCCTCGACCTGCTGGGCTCAGGTGATCCTTCCATCTCAGCCTTCTAGGTAGCCGAACTACAGGCGCGTGCTACCACACCCAGCTAATTTTCTGATTTATTGTAGAGACGTGGTCTTACCATGTTGTCCAGGCTGGTTTCAGACCCATGGGCTCAGGCAATTCTGTAGCCTCGGCCTCGCAAAGTGGTGGGATTATAGGTTTGAGCCACTGCGCCCAGTCGAAAAATACAAAATTAATATTTGCTGTACTACACCCTAGAAGCCAGTGCTGTTCTGATCATCCAATTTAATATTCACATACACTCTAAGGGAAAAATTATTCCCCCACCAAGTTCAGAGAGCGAGGAAGCCTGCTAGGGTGGTGTAGCCGACTGATGGTAGGCAGGGACTGCAGCTACAGCAGAAGACATCAGCAAATGAAAGAAAGTCCCTGCGAGGGGGAAGTGCTCCACGCAGACAGTGACCACATGTTCTGGGTGGGACAGTCCCTGCTGTGAAGGTGAAATTATTCCCTTCATTCTCAAGTGCCTGGAGGATGAGTTATAAGATGTTTATATGTAGGTGGTTGTGTAAAAAGAAAAAGAAAAATCACACTGGGCACAGTGGTTCATGACTGTAATCCCAGCACTTTGGGAGGCGGAGGTGAGAGGATTGCGTGAGTCCAAAGGTTTGAGACCAGCCTGGGCAGCTTAGTGAGACCTTGTCTCTACA